TGACAAGCTGACAACAAAGCACTATGTCTGAATGGAGTTCTTTATTGGGACATTCTCTTTGGTGACTAAGGATTTTCAAGTTTTTAAAGAATATATGACAAGCTTAAGTATTTTGTATGTAGAGTTATGAGAGCAAATGATGGAAGGGCATGAGGTGCAAACCTGAAAATGTCAGATCAGGAGGGAAGTGTGTACTGAGGTTCAATTAAGGTAGAGGTCCTGCCAGTTGGAAACTTCCTTGTACAGTGGACCCCCGACATTCGATGGCATCGACATTCGATAAATCCGACATTCGATGCATTTTAACGCAAAAATTTCGCCTCGACATTCGATACGATTCGTACAAGATGTGTCCACGTGTGGCCTGAACTGCCCCGTGTGTGCCAGTGTGCGTGCATCTAAGGATACATTCGGTACATTCCATATTATCCATATTATCACTGTTTTTGGTGCTTGTTTCTGCAAAATAAGTAACTATGGGCCCCAAGAAAGCTTCTAGTGCCAACCCTTCAAGAAAAAAGGTGCTAATGACTATTGAAATGAAGAAAGAGATGATTGCAAAGTATGAAAGTGGAGTGCATGTGTCGGAGTGCATGATGATTTGGTAAAGAAATTGCCTGCAACTAGTGGTGATGTGAGTGAAGTTAAGGCCAGCAAAGGTTGGTTTGAAAGATTTAAGAATCGTAGTGGCATACACAGTGTGGTAAGGCATGGTGAGGCTGCCATTGCAAGTCCTAATGGAAGGGGATTCCCCTTCTAAACACTAACACCATCCATACTCTCCCCTCCTCCCATCCCATCAATCATCACCAGATCTTCATTAAAGGTAAGTGTCAATTATTCTATTGTTATTAATCTATTGTTATTGTTGTTATTGTAATTATTCTATTGCATTAAACTTAATATTTCATGTGGTAAATTTTTTTTTTTTCGTACTTTTGGGTGTCTTGCACGGATTGATTTGATTTCCATTATTTCTTATGGGGAAAATTAATTCGACTTACGATATTTTCAACATTCGATAGCTCTCAGGAACGGATTAGTATCGAATGTCGAGGGTCCACTGTATATGGGTGGTGGTGGTGTCTTTGGTATGAATGAGAGCTGATTCAAGGCATTTTCTCCTATTCTTTTCTAATTCTCTGATAACCATCAATGTAGTTGGAGGCCATGTTACAATGCAGAGCATAAGTGTTGTATAACCCACATATACTTTAACCTAGCACAAACTATGATGTTGACGTTTGCATTCTCCATGGTCTGGTGTTAATTTTCTCAGGTCTAGTTATGTCTTTGTTAGTGGTGGAGGTGATGGTGTCTTTGATATAACTTTTCTTGAGTGACCTAGAAACATTCTCCCACATGAACATGGCAAAAAAAAAAAAAAAAACTGCAGAAGATCTCTGTGATTTTGTGGCACTCGTCTTCCCAATAATTAAGGTTGTAGATTCTGATGAGCCATTAGAAAGAAATCCAACCAAACGCCTTTCTTGAGTTTAGTGGAATGGTGAAATTAGATTTGAATGATTTGGTTTGAAGGAAGCTGCTGGTAGTGTTATTGTATATAATGACTCGTGCATACACCCTGTTCACAACAGCTTTTTCTTAGTAGTCAAGAAGTATCATCAAATGTTCTTCAAGAAAGGAAGCTTACATATCTGCAATTTATGAATGCCCAGTACATGTAAGTACAGCATTGTATAGTTTCTCTAAACCCACAATCATGGGGTACACCAACTCCAAGGCTGAGGGACTGATTACCTCATCTTTTGTATATAGTTCTACTGTCTTCAAATTATGTCCTAGAATCTATATTGAGGCCTCATTTAGATTATGCCACTCAGTTTTGGTCTCCTTACTACAGGATAGATATAGACTCATTGGAGAACATACAGAGAAGAATGATTAAATTAATACATTGCATTAGAAATCGTCGTATGAAGAAAGATTAAAGACCCTTAAACTACACTCACTTGTATGAGGAAGAATGAGGGGAGACATGATTGAAGTGTATAAGTGGAAGATGGGTATTAACAAAGAGGATATAAATAAGATAAGTATAGGCACCTAGGTAGTAGGTTGGTAGACAGCAACTGCCCAGGGAGGTACTACCGTCCTGCCAAGTGAGTGTAAAATGGAAGCCTGTAATTGTTTTACACAATGGTAAGATTGCTCGTGTCTTTTTTTTCTGTCTCATACACATGCAAGATTTCAGGTACGTCTTGCTACTTCTACTTACACTTGAGTTACACTACACATACATGTACAAGCATATATATACACACCCCTCTGAGTTTTCTTCTATTTTCTTTCTAGTTCTTCTTCTTGTTTATTTACTCTTACCTCCATGGGGAAGTGGAACAGAATTCTTCCTCTGTAAGCCATGCGTGTTGTAAGAGGCGACTAAAATGCCAGGAGCAAGGGGCTAGTAACCCCTTCTCCTGTATATATTACTAAATGTAAAAGGAGAAACTTTCGTTTTCCTTTTGGGCCACCCCTCCTTGGTGGGATACGGCCGGTGTGTTGACAGAAGAAAAAAGTATAGGCAGTGCTCTTCACAAATTGGTCAGGGCTCAGGCAAAATTCCCTTTACAGTTTGCTTGGCACTGGCTGTAGTCCACTCTACTGGCACTCTAGTGATCTATCCAGGATTGTTGACACTAATGTTGGACAAGAAACTTTCTAATTTGGATGTTTTGTTGATCACCATTGTCCCAACAAACCAGGCTGTTGCCATCCTCCATCATGGATGACAAGGAATAACCTGTGCCCATGAGAATTTTATTGATTTCAATGAATTGTTCTTAAACTACAACTGTTTTTCCTTCAGCAAACGGGTATAACCATGGGGTCCTCAATTAGAGCACTCACAAACTTCTACATGAAGTTTCTTGAGGCCAAGAGATAGTGACCTCATCCCAGCTGAGTATCGTGGGTGAGGTATGTCGAAGACATCCTCACCATTGCACCCAACATACTTGATTCTTTCAGCTCAGAGACCTTCTCAGTGCTGTTGCATCTTTCATTCAGTTCACTTTAGAAGAGGAAACCTACAACTCTTCCTTTCCTTGTCATCAGTATATACAGAAACACTACTAGCAACTCCCAGTCAGATTGATCTCTCTCATTTCTGGTTTCACTAATCCACTAAAACCCAGAGAAGTCTACTGTTGGATTTTTTCTAGGGGATTTCAAAATCTGCACCTTGATTTCCTTATAGCTGAGTGCCTCAAACTCTCTGAGATGTTTTGCATTTTGCATCATTTTCCTGCCATCATTATCGTTCATATGGGATTATAGAAGGAAAGCAAAGAGAATTATTAACAGTGAGTGTCAATACCAGTACATCATTTCCAAATTCTCTCCTCATGCTCAACATAAATTCCTTTTCAGCAGCTAACCTACTCTACCTATTTTTTTTCATCTAAACCACCTTATGTTTAGTGGTTTAAATGACAGATTTGCACAATAGCTGTACTGTCATGCAAAGCCTAAACTTATATGCTAGGACTAGAATTAAGTACTATGTAAGTTTTAGGATTAATATGCCTAAAATACTTTGCATATTAAGTGGCTTTCTTTTGAACATACAATTGTATTAATAACAAAATTGACTAAAAATTATAATCAGATGCATTGCAAGTCTTATCCATTGTAATCTCTATGTATATTCCTATGGAATAAAGATTTTAATTTTCATTTTATTTTTTCATTTTCATTTAGTCTTCTCTACTTCCATGGTACCTGAGAACTTTTCTACAATTCTTAAGATCTGAGAGGGTAATGCCAGCCTGGAGGAGAATACAGGCACCTACACCATCTCTTGTAGTAGTTGTGATAAAGTATAAATGAGAGATGAATAGTCATTTGTCCACAGACACGTGCAAACAGTTATGCTGGCTGCATTATCCTTAACAAAACTTGTGTTTTACATTGTGGCACAGCCACACATCACATGGATTGGCCCAGGGCAAGCATACTTATCAAAGACAAAGACGAATAGAAAATGCCTTGAATCTTGAATTGACTCTTGTTCATACTACAAACACCATCACCCAGAACCAATGACATTTCCAGTTAGTGGAATTCTTGGCTCACATATTCTTCAACATACACTACCCTCCTAGCTTAACTTAGCCAGGTTTATATCTCATGCCTTCTTGTCACCTGCACACCCAACTGTTTACTGGTCTCCAAAAAGAATAAAAAGGCACAATATTGTGACTGCAACAGTACACAGATAACCTGCACATAGGAGAGTGAAACTTACGACGATGTTTCGGTCCAACTTGAACCATTAACTAGTCACACATCAGCATTGTCATAAGTTTCATTCTCCTGTGCAGCTGATTTGTGTCTTGGTCTAAGTAATATGTTGTCTCACTTTACAGGTTTCTATTCTGCCATAATAACATTTTTTTTTTATAATTTGTCTCACTTTACAGGTTTCTATCCTGCTATAATAACTTTTTTTTATCAAAAAGTTCTTCATCAGCAGCTGCTTGGCCATCACTAATCCAGCAATCAGTTATCCAGTTCCGTCAGTAATCCGGCACTAATTTCAACTAGCATAGCTTCAAATTTCATTATTATACTGACTCAAATTTCATCATTATAATGACTCAGAAATTGTGCAGAGGGTTGTAAATCCACAGCAGTAAGCCTGTGGAGGAGAAAGCAGTGATGATAATAAGGAAGATGTAGCAGAAAGAGTCTCTATTGATAGGTTAATTAAATGTAGTCTAACCTAACCACTCTGAAATCTGGCAAACTCACTAATCCGGCACACTACAGGTCCCAATAATGCCGGATTAGTGATGGTCGACGTGTAGTTGCCATTTCTTACTACTTACGACTACTACTATTACCATGCCCTCATCAGCCTACTACAATGCTTGTATCACTTTCTGCATATCACTATATGTTTCCTTTATATATCCTCTGTGTGTTTGTATTGACTTGTAGCCGAAATAAGTTTCTCATTACCAATATTTATACAGGATATACACCTTTGTGTGAGGCAGTGTGGCATAAAGACATCAAACTTGTCCAAATGCTTCTAGCAGCAGGAGCCAAAGTGACCCAGTCACACTACCTACTCCACTATGCAGTCCTTCATAGACACTATCAGGTAAAGAGAGTTAAAGGAAAAACATTTTTTTTTTTAACAAGTCGGCTGTCTCCCACCGAGGCAGGGTGACCCAAAAAGAAAGGAAATCCCCAAAAAGAAAATACTTTCATCATCATTCAACACTTTCACCTCACTCGCACGTAATCACTGTTTTTGCATAGGTGCTCAGAAATACAACAGTTTAGAAGCATATACGTATAAAGATACACAACATATCCCTCCAAACTGCCAGTATCCCAAACCCCTCCTTTAAAGTGCAGGCATTGTATTTCCCATTTCCAGGACTCAAGTCCAGCTATATAAAAATAACCGGTTTCCCTGAATCCCTTCATTAAATAGTGTATTACCATACTCACACTCCAACAGCTCGTCAGGTCCCAAATACCATTTGTCTCCATTCACTCCTATCTAACATTCTCACACACGCTTGCTGGAAGTACAAGCCTCTCGCCCACAAAACCTCCTTTACCCCCTCCCTCTAACCTTTTCGAGGATGACCCCTACCTCTCCTTCCTTCCCTACAGATTTATACGCTCTCCATGTCATTCTACTTTGATCCATTCTCTAAATGACCAAATCACCTTAAAAACCCCTCTTAGCCCTCTGACTAATACTTTTATTAACTCCACACCTAATTTCCACACTCTGAATTTTCTGAAAAATATTTACACCACACATTGCCCTTAGACAGGCCATCTCCACTGCCTCCAACCGCCTCCTCACTGCAGCATTTATAACCCAAGCTTCACACCCATATAAGAGTGTTGATACAACTATACTTTCATACATTCCCTTCTTTGCCTCCATAGATAGCGTTTTTTGTCTCCACATATACCTCAATGCACCACTCGCCTTTTTTCCTTCATCAATTCGATGATTAACCTCATTCTTCATAAATCCATATGCTGACATGTCAACTCCCAAATATCTGAAAACATTCACTTCTTCCATACTCCTCCTCCCCAATTTGATATCCAATTTTTCTTTATCTAAATCATTTGATACCCTCATCACCTTCCTCTTTTCTATGTTCACTGTCAACTTTCTACCTTTACACACACTCCTAAACTCGTCCACTAACCTTTGCAGTTTTTCTTTAGAATCTCCCATAAGCACAGTATCATCAGCAAAAAGTAACTGTGTCAATTCCCATTTTGTATTTGATTCCCCATAATTTAATCCCACCCCTCTCCCGAACACCCTAGCATTTACTTCTCTTACAACCCCATCTTTCTTTCTTTCAGCACACTGGCCGTATCCCACTGAGGCAGGGTGGCCCAAAAGGAAAAACGAAAGTTTCTCCTTTTTTTTTTTTTTTTCAACAAACCGGCCATATCCCACCGAGGCAGGGTGGCCCAAAAAGAAAAACGAAAGTTTCTCTTTTCAAATTTAGTAATTTATACAGGAGAAGTGGTTACTAGCCCCTTGCTCCCGGCATTTTAGTCGCCTCTTACAACACGCTTAGCTTACGGAGGAAGAATTCTGTTCCACTTCCCCTTGGAGATAAGAGGAAATAAACAAGAATAAGAACTAGAAAGAAAATAGAAGAAAACCCAGAGGGGTGTGTGTATATATATGCTTGTACATGTATGTGTAGTGTGACCTAAGTGTAAATAGAAGTAGCAAGACATACCTGAAATCTTGCATGTTCATGAGACAGAAAAAAGGATACCAGCAATCCTACCATCATGTAAAACAATTTCAGGCTTTCGTTTTACACTCACTTGGCAGAACGGTAGTACCTCCCTGGGCGGTTGCTGTTTACCAACCTAACTCCATCTATAAATATATTAAACAACCATGGTGACATTACACATCCCTGTCAAAGACGTACTTTTTCCAGGAAGTAGTCTCCCTCTCTTCTACACACCCTAACTTGAGCCTCACCATCCTCATAAAAACTCTTTACAGCATTTAGTAACTTACCACCTATTCCATATACTCACAACATCTGCCACATTGCTCCCCTATCCACTCTATCATATGCTTTTTCTAAATCCATAAATCCATAAATGCTTCAATGTAAACACTTGATCTACACATCCCCTACCCACTCTAAAACCTCCTTGCTCATCTGCAATCCTACATTCTGTCTTGCCTCTAATTCTTTCAATAATAACCCTACCGTACACTTTTCCTGGTATACTCAGTAAACTTATTCCTCTATAACTTTTACGATCTCTTTTGTCCCCCTTCCCGTTATATAAAGGGACTATACATGGTCTCTTCCAATCCCTAGGTACCTTCCCCTCTTTCATACATTTATTAAACAAAAATACCAGCCACTCCAACACTATGTGACCCCCTGCTTTTAACATTTCTGTCATGATCCCATCAGTTCCAGCTGCTTTACCCCCTTTCATTCTACG